AAGATTTCAGTCAGGTAATTAAGTTGAGTTATGAATTTTGTTTAATCCAAGTTAATTCAAACCATTTAATTAAAACAAAATTTAAAACGAATTAATCATGCAATTTTAATTGACTAATTCAACCCGCTTTAAAAAAATAATTTTTTTAACATAAACCGTAAATTTGACATCCTGTACCTGGCAACTTTCCTGATTTAGCATCATTTTTGAATGTGAGATCATAGGGATGAAACTTCCCAATGTACTTGAGCTTACGCAAATTCCGGTAGAATAGAGTCGCCGGAATATTCTGGTAGTATATTCCGAAGTTAATTCCGGCGTCGTCGAGGTTGTCGAAGATCGTTCTTTGCGGGTAACCTTTGGCTAACAACGACGCGTTGTTTGAGGTGGCGCCGTGAGATGTGGCGGAGTGAACGTAGAGCCGGTTCGGTTGAGTCGACGCCGGCACCGACGCGAACCACCGGTCGAACACCGCAAATTCCGATACAAGGGTCTTATAGACCGCCACCTGAACAATAACTCATTTTTTTAGTTTAAATTATGCATTAACTAGGTAAAAAAAAAATATTTACATGCACTATCAATTATTACCCTCAAATCAAATGATAAATAATAAGTATATTATACACACTAAATTTTTATTAATTTTATAAAAAAATATTATACTGATGATATTTATAACTTTAATTAATTATAGATTTAAATTATATATTGATTGCATAGAAGAGTTTTGCACAATCAATTTAATTTAACAGTTATACCTGAAATTTGGAAGTATAGTTGAATTGGACTCACTAGTAAGAATGGAAGGCAAAAGTATAGTTCAAGTGGACTCACTAGTAAGAATAGAAGTTTATATAGCCTCTTTATAATATAATCCTTGTATAATACTCATTCACTATAAAAATTAAATTTTTTCGGAACTCATTTTTATATTTTGTTATAATATATGTCCTCTATAACAACACTTCATTATAGCAGTCAAAAATATCGGAACAAACGGGGCTGTTATTGAGAAGTTTGACTATGTGTGTGTGGGATGGATGAATAGGATCCTTCCACCCTTAACTAAAGGTCTCAAGTACGAACCCTGAGTATGAAAAAAATTCTGCTAGAGAGCGCTTCCCCCTTAAATGGGTCTTACGTAATGCGTATCCAGATGTAATCAGGTTTCAATGCGGGAATCGAATACCGAGAGAGTAAACCAACCAACAAAAAAAAAAGAGGAAGGTGTATCCATATCGGATGAAAACTTGAAATAAAAATAGGAAAATTTAATATTACTATTTAATGTGTCGTAGTTAGTTATAGGAAGCAATACAAAAACATCTACTTTTGTTACGTATTTAATAGCTAAGTGTTATACACAACATATTTTTTAGATTCAATAAATTGGAAAGAAGAAACAGATATTATAAACGTCATATCCTAGAGAATGTGTTCATATCTACCTAAATTTTTAGAAAATTCTTATCCACAATTGATAATTATACCAAATCAAATCATTTTGAACCTTAAAAATCACATATTAGTGATTATATACATAACTAAGAGATAAAAAGCTCATATGCAAGATACATGTTCTGCATTCATTGATTTGAAGCAAATACCGAGCGCTGATAAATTATTACTATTATTTATTTTTTTCAAAATTTTGCTCCCTAGTTCCTTCAAAATACAAGAACTAATGTACCTCATTTTCGGTGTGAACTTAACTACTTAAGTATGTTATTTCTTATTTTCTTTTAAATGTTAAAAAATACTCCTTTAAATTACAAATGTAGTTTAAACTATTTTTAAAAGTACTTAAAATTTTAGAAAAAAATCATTTATTTCCTCAAATAGTAAGACTCAACTTTTTCATGCCAAAACATTCAATATTTAATGAAGCTCCCCCCTACTCGTAGTAGTAATTACACCAACAACGGTTGGGGTGGAGTGATAAGTACTCGTTCATCCTTAACCAGAGGTCTCGAGTTTGAGCTTCTGGGTATAGAGTCACCTTTATTAGGGAGTGCTTTACCCCAATACGAGACTTTCCGGCGTGAATCTGGATTTAGTCGGACCCTTATATGAGTATCGGACACCGGGTGGGAAACCCAAAAAAAAAAAAAAAAAAAAAAGATAGTAGTAATTACCATATCAGGTTGGAATCCATTCATGACTTGTTCAGGCATATTAGAATCCATAGAAAGAGCTTGTTGAGCAAATCCATTCATAGGTGCTGGATTTTTCGAACTATCATTAGACCCAAATATCTGTTCACGTATAGCTTGAAATGAATGTCCTGGATCAGGATCAACATAATGAGACCGATCACCAAATAAAATCCGACGGGCTTTCGGATCCGTCGTCGAAATCGGGTTGGATTCGGACCCGTCGACGCCATTGATTTCCGGGTTGAGCTTCTTCATCCATCCTAACATGTGGTCGAATGACCTGTTCTCCATTACGAGAACTACTACTGTCTTTATTGGACTGTCAGCGACAGCCCAATAATAATAGTGATTACCTATTAGAATTAGAAAAATTAATTGTCCGACGACGTTCGTCGGACTATTAATATTTTTGGATGACATTGTGGTGGTGGTGGAATATTTTTTCTTTTTTGGCAGTGGTTGTTAGTATGGTCCGTGAACTGACTGAAAGTTGGAATTTATAGAGTTGTGGGCATTGAGTGGAGTGTTGGGTGGTGAGGAATGGACACTTCCATAATTTGTATGTATGTGTTTTGTTGCTTTATTGGTTGGGAATGGAAAATATCTTCTTTAATAAATGCTTTTACATGTAGATGTAATGCTTTATTATTGTCACGTAAAATCTTTTTATAATAACTTCGTTTGTTTCGAATATTTTTGAATGTTATAGCGAAGTGCTGTTATATAGAACAAATATTATAACATAAGATGAAAATGAGTTCCGAAAAAACTTGGCTTTTATAGTGAAGCGTTGATATATGGGGATACTATTATAGAGAGGTCTAACCGTATATAACATAGAAGGTTGTAGTAAAATGATAAGTATTCTTTTATTCTTAATTAAAGGTCTTGGTTTACAGAGGCGGAGTCAGGATTTAAAGTTTATGCGTTCAGGCTTATAGTCTGTTTAAGTTACTAGGTTTTAAATTGATAATTTATACATATTTAATTGATTTCTTAAGATAAATATAAGGTTTAGACTAAAGCTCTTCGGTTCGCCGGAACCTGTATCCCGCATGCTAGCTCCGGCCCTGTCGGTTTGAGCCATATGTATAAAAGCATCTTTGTTAAAAAACATTTTACTTGTAGGATTTCCCAGTATGAATCCAAATTTAATTAAATGCCAATAAAAGTATCAAATACTGGATGAAAAATTAAAAAAATTAAAATAAATAAATATTTACCATATGAAAAAGAGGAAATTAGGCCATTATATAGGAAAAGGGAATGGAAAGTCTGGTGATAATCAGGGAGGTTCTAGCTTTCCGGCAAAGGATACGGCTACATTTATGGTTTTTTACTCAAATTTTATAAATGAAAGTTTGATACTTTAACATTATAAAATATATTTGAACGAAAATTTCCAGTATATTAGGATTATATGGAACTACTGCATATAAATTTCAAGCATATATTATAACTCCAACACATTATGAATTCCAACATATTATGTTGGAATTTTATATGTGAAAAATTCGAACTCCAGCATATTATGCTGGAATATTTCCGGAATTTTAAGGGCATTTTGTTTCGAATTTTATTTTCACATAAAAAAGTGGCAAAATTTTGATTATTTTTGAAATTATGTCTAATTTTTAATTAACAGTTGTAAAACTATTTCTTATTTTTAGCCATAAAAGATAGCAAGACAACTCAACAAGAACTGAATCACTAATTTGAATTATTTACAGATATGATGGATCAGTTGTCGTTTAAATTTCTAATTTTACACAACTTTTTGAGCTAAATTAGGAATGCTCTTTAGGAGATACGTTTTCATCCTTTAAATTAGAATCGTTTTCTAGTTTAGCTAGTTGTTATAAAAAGTATTACAATAACTATTATTCCATATAGTAATTTACGACACAATGGAATTTACTATAGTATTTTGGTTTCAACACCTTTTAGGAACATTATAGTTTATATTTGTAATATTATGAAGCCACAAAATTAATAGCCCGTTTGGCCAAGATGCAAAAATCAGCTTATTTTGAGAAGTGCTTTTTTCAAAAGTACTTTTGGTGATAAGCAGTTTGTGTTTGGTTAATTAATTTGAAAAACACTTTTGAGCAGCAATTAGTGTTTGGCCAAACTTTAAAAAACTGCTTTTAAGTGTATTTTTCTCAAAAATGCTTTTCAAAAAAAAAGCTTTTGGAGAGAAGCTATTTTTTCTGCTTTTCCAAAACTGCTTATGCTTCTCCTCAAAAATACTTTTTTTCCTTCCAAGAACTTGGCCAAACACCTCAATTTTTGGCCAAAAGTGCTTTTGGCCCAAAAAAGCACTTTTGGCCAAAAAAAAAAAAAACTTGGCCAAACAGACTATAAATCTGGTCAATCGAAACAAAATGGCATGTACTTTATATGGCAGTCACTTTTCATTCATCGCTTGAGAAAATTTCGCTGAAATTTTTATAAAGTACTATCTTTTAGTGGTATTTAGCTATCTATAGATATCATTTGCTATATTACGGATTGTAGATACGTTTTCTATTGTTATAAAATGTATTAGATGTATTTAAGTTACTGTATTCATGAATACAATAGCAAAAATAGGCGTGAATCAGGGAAGTCCAACAAATCAGTTGTTGTATTCGAGTATATTCGACTGTATTCATGGCGTGAAACATGGGATTACAGCTGGACAGATTATTGTATTCGACTGTATTTACGACATGAAACAAGGGATTACACTGTTTTTAAACGGAAAATGTATCAATTAACATAATAGACTCCTAATATAACTCAACAAACTCAATTATAACACACAAAATTTGTATTTTCGGTTGTAAAAAAGATTCTCAACCGAAAAATACCTCAAAAACATGGCAATCTTCAGAGAAATTATATAATACATCTGAATACATAAATTATATTAATTAAAAAATATATGAATACATTCATGGTATATAGCGAGACAATGAATACAATGAAATACATAAAATACAGCGGGATACATTGAAATATAATGAAAAAAAGATAGTGAATACAACGAAATACATGGAATATAGCGAGATACATTGAATTACAATGAAAAAAAGACAATGAATACAATGAAATACATGAAAATACAGCGTGATACGTTGAAAATACATTGAAATATATTAACAGAAAATCAAGTTGCTCAGCTCCAAACTCTGTCGTCTTTGTTCAAGAACAAACCCTAATTTTCGGCAAATCCACCGTCGAGCAATGGTGGCAGAATAAGGAGCTGTTAATCACCATTAACGAGCAGATGATTAAAACTTTTGAAGCAGCAACAACATAATCTTCATATAAATCAAACCTGATGAGTTGCCTTCTCGCTAACCACCCAATCAAGCTACGACCTTGAGTTCCAAGCAATTTTGGCAAGAACTTTCGAAGTTCATTCATCTGTAATCTCTCAAACGAAAATTTTAATACTAGAGCCTGATGTAGGCCTTCTTCAACAGTGAACTTTCCAAATTCCTCCATAGTAAATACACCAGTAGGTTCCATAAACTATTGCAATAGGTGTAAGAATTGTTTTTGATGGATTTTGAGCATGTTTGTTTGTGAGCACTCTCGTAGCGTATGTAGTGGCTGGGTTAGGGTTTAAATTCGTATCTCCCACAACAGCATGTATCAAAGTAGAGAGAGAAAGAAAATAGTGTAACTGAATAGCGTATTTAGTGGCTTAGAGGTAGGAGGTAACCAAAATTAGATATCTTGCTATAAACATTAAAAGGTATCTATAGAATATAATTTTTTTAAATGATATTTATTTAAAATAAATAAGGTGTTAACCTTTGATATAGGAGGTAAAAATTCCTTTAAACAAAAAGAGCCAAAACCCAACAAAGAAATGCATTCTAATTCTTTCCATCCCAGAAATAAAAGAAACAGAAACATAATTGCAGTAAATGCTAAATAGAGGTTATGAAGAATTAATTTTTTTTCTTTTTAGATATTCTAATAATCAGCTCCAAACAACTCATTGACCAAGCTCCAGCAAAAATAAAAGCTAAAAATAATTGATAGAATCCTACTACAAATGATACTTTAAATTTATATATTCTTCCTTAACGCTTTAAATAATTTTCTGGCGTCCACACTTCCACTCGGTGAAGTGCAAACTGCAAATTAACATGCATGCAAGCAATCAACAAAAAACTTCCCGAAAGATGGAGGGGTCATAAATTTTATTCAAAATAGTAGATATGAAAACCAAATTTGTAGGTAATCGCTACAAATTAACTTTCACTTTTCATCCCAAGACATAGCTAACACATGCAAGACATAGGATAACTCGGTCAAAATCAGGAAAGGCCACATCATAAAATTAGAAGATGAAAATTGGAAAACATAAAGCATGAATAAAGCCACAAAAAAGAGGAAGACGAAGAACAATCCTACAAAAATTGAAATAAACAAATGCTGGAGAAAAATTTAAGAGAACAACCCATTATTCCAACAAAATTACTGGAAGAAAGAAAGAGGAGGAGGAAGAAAGATTTTTAACAAGAATCAGAAATACCCTTCGTTAGCAAAAACTAGCAGTCCAAAATACAACACAAAATTACAACACACATCTACATCTTAATTTTCGTTGTTTAATTGAAGTTGTAAGAAACATAGCAGCACACAAAATAGCTTGATAGAAACCAAAGAAGATTAGACCTAGAATTTTATATTAAAACTGTAAGCACGTGATTTTTGCCCTATATGAGAAATACTCCCAAAAAATGCAAAATAAAATGATTTTCCTTG